ATAGAAATTAAAACCCTTCACGTTTTTTCCCTCTGTGATTTGATTATTTGATATAATTTTTGTATTGCTAATTTTTCCTTTACAGAATTAAACTTTTAATTATCGAAATAAAACAATGAAATAAAATCAGTTGTGATAAAATGTTGTTGAATGTAAGATTGGCAAGTATTTAACAAATATATCTTAATTACCAAAATGCAAACATAAAAAGAAGCCGTCGTCCATTTGACGCGAAGAAGATAGTGAAAATTCGTAGATGTATAATGTAACCATATAATGTGATGTAATGTCATATAGTGTAATCAATTATTTGTTCTTTTTTCACTTAATTATGCGGAAATGTCCTATTAACGTACATTTATAATCAACTAATGATTCCGAAATTCCAATTACTAATTTTCGTGAAAATTCTGACTTGATACAAGCGAATTTATACCGATTAAAGTAGTAGTTCATAACTAAAGAGTGCCGATATTGCTAATATTGGTAACACCGATGATACTGGTGATACTGCTATATGAAACCACATTTTAATCACTATCAAATTTTTTACACGGTATTGTTACACATTTACGCTGCCATATAGTACTGATGTGTTCTCTCGTACTTATTCATACAAAGTTAAATATATCGTCAGACATTTTTACAATAAACGGTGAATAAGGGAAGAAGAAGAAATGTTTAGCAGAACTATGAGCCATAAGGAGAATGATGGAAATACATACGATCTCTTCTAGCGTATCTTACTTCTTTTTTCAGGCTAACATAGTATCTCAATCTACAATTTGTGTTATCAATTTTAGAGTTTTAATTATATAGTTTGAAATCGAAAAAAGAAGTTATGTTTCAAGTGAGAACTTAAGCACTTAATCATAGCTCTCATTAAATAAAATATTAGAGGGAACGGCGTGTTTTATTCAACATTTGAATTGATAGGAAAATAAATGTAGTAAACGAAGCTAAATGAATATGATCATGAAGTTATGAAATATTATTAAAAGAGGAAATAAATAGGAAGACGTTTATGGCCAATATTAATTTCTTCTTTAATTCTGAACTAAATTTATTATTATTACTATTAATGGATAAAATATATTTTTAGGAACTAACTTTTACTCTGCTTTGCTTTACTCTGCTTTACTCTGCTGGATCTTTACCAATAGTAATTGATGAAAACTAATCTTTAATTCTACGCTTTTCTTCTTTTCTTTTAAGATGACAAATTAAATGATAAGAAAAAAGAAAAGAATAGTAGTATTGAATTTGAATTAAAATTATTTGAATATTCAAGTGCTTTAGTCGTCCATGGGAAAACTTTATTTATAAGAAGATGAAAATATCGCGGTAAAAAGTAAAAGAGATTAATAAAATATTTCTACGAAACAACAGTTGCATAAGTTTGGTATGAACCACTTCTAATATAAATACAATATTGATTTGCCTGATATCATGATAATAACTTGTGTGTTAATATGAATGTAGTAATTGATATTACTAATTGAAACATGAAGCAGGTGGAAAATATCAAAATACCTATATGAATATTAAGCAACGGGATTTCTGTCTAATATCATAATAATAACTTGTCCACTAACGGAATAATAAAACGCCTGTTAGAGGAATAAATACTACTAATTGTGCAAAACAACTGTAATAAAGTTGAGGTATTTTATTAAATTTTGCGCGGTGCAGTGATTGCTAAGATCCGATACCTCTTAGATTTCTCGATCGTATTGAGCATGGTGTAAATTTTTGGCTGGTAGCACTACCAATCTTCTTCGATATTGAGTTTAAAACAATACTGGAGGTAAAATTACTTTTTTTCTATTACAAGTTGAATTGTGGCAAAATTTGAATCGTTTTATTCTTATGTTGCAAAAGTTTTAATCGAAACTTTTTTGCTATTGAAGTTTAAATAAGGGATGTGTAATGACAATATTGCCAGTTTAAATTTCCCATTTGATGAAGAGTTCTTTTCTGGATGAGAATCGATAGTATATTTCTCAGCTCTATATCAATAAGCTCAATTTTGAAAGTAAGAAAAAATTGAAATGAAATGAGATGAAATTGTACAAACAATGTTGTTAGTCTTTGAATAAATTATTCTTCACAATTGGATAAAATAGTTGAAATAAATTATTCAGTATAATAGATTAAACATCAATTGCTGTTATTTTATTATTAAATATGAATTATTAATACATATTTTTTATCATTCCCAACTTTATAAGCATTTACAGATATGATAGTTTCTGATAGAGGTGAGCTCTGTCCTTCCACAAATCTCATTCAATAAATATTATTTCTTTTATTTCAACGAAAAATGCCAGCCTCTTTTGAAAATTTCGCGTTATATGGAAGATTTCAAGACAACACGATAAAATTATAAATAAGCATCCTTTTTAAAAATCAGAATTATCTTTCTATAAAATTTACTTTTGGAATATCCGCGACTGATTTCCAGCGGGAATAATTTATTATTTGAATGAATAATGCCTTTATTGTATTAGCAATGAATGCGTGACCGTTGTCTTTCCGATGGTAATATATTTCGAAATGTATTGTTTGGAAGAAATTTCATTTTTAAAGCAACTTGTCAAAGAGCGATCGGTGTGATCTCTCATAAGCATAAGCAACCATTCACAGTGTTTTGGTAAATTTGAATATTTTTTAGAATTGCAAAGAAATTATAACAATCAATATTCATTTCATTCACTTTACCTTTTTCAATTAAACATTCAAATCACAGTAATTCATTAAAGATTAAAAATATAAAACATTTAGTATTTCAAAAATATCAAATTTTCAACATTAGATGAAGGATAATTCCATATAATTTCAGGATACAACAATTTTTTAAACCGTTTGAAATTCGGAAAGTCAGTAACTTCTTCATTTTCTTCTTTCATTTAATTCGCAAGTAAATTTTACTACTTTAAGAGTTTTGCGAGATGTGAAGAGATAGACACAGCGGACATTGATAAATATCAGTGAGCGATGTCAATCCTCAAATACTGTAATTAAAGTCATCCGCTTAAGAATATTTGCAGGATATAAGGCAAAGATAACTGATAAATACGAGCGATTGATGTTAATTCAATCAGCAATCGTTTGCGGAGCATTTGAAATTGAAATTGTTTCCATTTCCTTTTGCAACTTGCAGTAAAATTAGCAGGCAGAAAAGTTGAAATCCCAGTCAATATATTCATCAATTGCTATGTGATTTTCAACGGTGCATTGCTGCTCGCCGTCAGTTTCATTTTCATCAAAGAATTTCGTAAGAACGTGAAACGAGTAATTGTAGAATTGTTATCCAAAATTACAAACAACAAAAAAGCGACTATCTTACAAACTATATTAGCTACTTATTAGCAACATGGAGGAAATTCAATATATTTGTCTTGTACGCTAATACAATAGAGACAGTTTGATTTCATTCTGTTGAATAAGGAGAAATCTCACTGATGCATTATTTCATCTGCTGTTATCTTAATTGCTACTATCATACCATTTTATCGATGAACTCATTTCAAAAATGAATTCAATTACATCATTCACATTCAGTTCATTGTAAATTATTTCATTTTAACTTTTTGCCTTTGTTATCATTAAGTAAGTTAATTAGTTATTACTTCTGCCCAAATTTGTTGAAGAGATGTTGTTTTATTAAGGATTTAACACAAAATACATATATAGCATTCAATTTCTGTCGACCTGAAAATTTCATTTAAGCCAAACGTATCATTTAATCTTACTTTCTGATTGCATTTACCATAAAATCCAAAAATTAAGATCAATCAATTAGATCACCTCGAAGTGCTTTAAATGTCAGAAACCCAAAATAATTTATAATAAATATGCCCAAATAATAAAAGCAGTTTGTGTTGCGAAAATATTCCTAATTCGAATGATTCATCGCACAACAATGTCTAATATGATGAATCATTTGGCTAAATTCTCATTATTTTTTTGATTACTATACTTATCTTTATGAGGAAAAAATATCATAATTAATATTATGTTTATTTTGATGAGGCCAAATGATGTAATCATAATATGATCACTTCATAAAAATCATCTTTAATTTTTTTCTCTTTTTATTTCTCAATAAACATTTCTTTCACTTCATATGCAATATTCAGTAGGTCTGTTATTACACGTCAATTTCAGAATTTTTGTCCATCAGACAATAATTTTCCATAATAAGCAATTTTTCCATAGACATCTCAACTTTCTCTACTTCTGTCACCAATGACGACAGTTGCAGTAATTACTTTATTGCGTGATGAAACTATTAGACTTCTATTATATCTCATAAAAAATCATTAAGCCAAGTAAGGCAAGAGATGGATGATAATTCATCAAATTATGTTATTGCTATTTCTCATATATTGTTTATATGTTAGTAACATTGAAAGAGTTAAGTGAATTATTTATTATTTGCTCTGAATATATTTTAGTTCAAGAAATTTTAAATTAAAACAGTGGTAAAATCTTTTATTTTTCATACGATATTTAACTTAGCATTTTCATTTCTTCTATTAGCTGTAGGAAATATATTATTATAATATACTTGAAAAAGTTGAACACTTCACTGTTTTACTTTATCAGCTTAATTTCAAGCTAACAATACCTGTTGTGAAGAGAGCAGAAAAGTTTACCTACTTTAAGATCCCTATCCACTCAAAGTTCTAATGGGTGCAAATCTTTATTCCTGAGATTTAAAATTGAAAATAATATATTACTACAAATTACTCTAAGCAACTTCGATGAATACAACCAAAATAAGAACTTGTCCTGGTAATCAATTTATGTGTATTAAATATTAATGCATTCGCCATATTGACTTCAATATATTCTCTTGCAATTCAAAAACAAACCATTTTGAAGCATTGACATTTCTGCCATTGAAACTTCCAGCTAATTAAAACCCATTTTACATAATAACTTAAGTGATGTGAATTAGAATGTTTCAGAAAAATTATCGGTGAACAAAAACAATGAATCGTTCTTACTGTATTATTGTTTTATTCCTAATATTACCACCATTAAATTGTCACAATGGGAATATGACAGATATTTTCGATATAAGAGATGACTGTAATATGTCAAAAAAATACGTCGCAACAATATTGTTTTCCTTAATCCTGCTGTACGGTATCGTTAGCAATATACTGTTGGCAACAGTATTCTGTAATTGCGACAATATGTACAGTCGTCCATTCATCTGTATCGCAATCCAAATTATTATTTGCAGCTTTTTGAATTTTATTACACAAATATTCATTGTCATACCTGAATTAGTAAAGAAGAAAATTTCTGATTGTAAGTTTTTTTCTCTTTCATATTATCCATTTATTATCATTTGTTGATAAGATACACGTAATAAATTTAAAATCGCAGATCGTGCTGATGGTTTGCACGATTAATTAGAGTGAGATAGAAATGAATTAATTCATAAGCGTGTGCGTAGGCAACTTTGTACATACTAAACAGATTTTTCTTAACTAATTGATTAACATTTTAGCATATGAGCCAACAATAATCCACAGAATATTTGCTTCTATAAATACAGCTTCATTTTTTGGTATGTTGCATTTTACATTTCTATTGGCGGTTAATCGCTTTGTGGTCATATGTTCACCAAAATATAATGGTTTCTTCCAGTCGATAAAGTTCTATTTTCTCCTCATCTTCGTTTGGTTTTCACTTCTCGGTACAATTTACTGAATATTTTAAACATTATTAATTGAAAAAGAGTCTTCAAAAGACTTCAGTGACAATTCCACCTGTTATATCTGTGCTGAATCTGGCAAATATGCGCATAAGAAACAATTTGAATAAAATTATCAAAGCATGATTATTTTGATCTTCTACTCACCATAATCTCTCGGTTGACCAATGCTCAACCTTGCACAACGTTGGGCTAGTTAAAGCATACCGTATCGATTTCAGTTTTCTTAATATACCATCAAAAACGCTTTAAAATTTTAAAACAACTTTTCAGGGCTTTTTATCATAGAATTTAATTACTGCATTAAATTTTTCAATGTTCCAAATTTGCAATGGTCTTTGTATTGTACTAAAAACATATCAGAATATGCTGAAGTGTTTAAGATGTTTGTCATTTTTGAATTCAAATTTCTTTTCTAAGAAGAACATTATCTGAAGTTCATTACTTACAGAAATTAGGAATTTAAAATCAATTTCGCTGATTCGAATTATACTTTTCAATTCCCTTTTTGTAAAACAATTAATATCCATCCGTCAGCATCTTCACTTATTGTTATTCGATTATTTTTGTTTAGGATTCGTTATGTGTGGATGCTTGGATTACCTATTGCGATGTTTGCGGTATACATTGTAATATTCCGCACCATTCGCCACAGACGAAAAAGTAGTCTGATGTTGTGCAAAGCAAGCGGTAACTTTTGCATTAGTTTTTTTACGCAGTTAAAAAAAACATAATGCAACAATTTTTAAACCATTTAAAATTCGGAAATCATTAGCAATTTTTCATTTTCTTTCATTTCTTTTGCAAGTAGATGATGTGAAGAGGTGGATACAACAAGCACTGGTAAATATTAGTGAGCCATGTTATTCCTCAAATGCGTTAATTAAAGTCAGCCGTTCAAGAATATTTGCAGGATATGAAACAAAGATAACTGATAAATACGAGCGATTGATGTTAATTCAATCAGCAATCGTTTGTGGAGCACTTGAAATTGAAATCATTTGTTTCTATTTCCTTTTGCAACTTGCAGTGAAATTAGCAGGCAAAAAAGTTGAGATCCCCGTCAATATTTTCATCAATTGCTATGTGATTTTCAACGGTGCATTGCTGCCCACCGTCAATTTCATTTTCATCAAAGAATTTCGTAAGAACGTGAAACGAGTAATTGCAGAATTGTCGTCCAAATTTACGAACAACAAAAAAGCAGCTATCGTGCCAACTATATTAGCAACGTAGCTAGCGTATTAGATATGTACCAGCTACATGGAGGAAATTCAATATATTTGTCTTGTACGCTAATACAATAGAGACAGTTTGATTTCATTCTGTGCAGTATATGTATTGCCCACTATGCATTTTATTTTTTTCAATTATGAATTTTCTAATCGATGACATGGATTGTAATCAGTTTTAATGATTATTTATTTGAAACAATTATTATTCATCCGTCAGCATCTTCACTTATTGTTATTCGACTATTTTTGTTCAGGATTTGTTATATGTGGACGCTTGGATTACCCATTGCAATGTTTGTGATAT